TCTACCAAATACAACAAACCTAACCTCCTTATATAATAAAAACAACCTGAGATAATTATTAGTACAGTGAAAGAGGCAGCTACAATAATGGCGCACAAAAGGTGTAAGGAAGGGGTAGGAAGAGAACTATTACACCAGCCCCAGAATATGCCTTCAGGATGCTCATTGATTTGTTAATGTTCTTTCCTACTTATTATTAGACATTGTGTAGTTATTCAAGGGCATGCATAATATTTTTTGAATTGGATTTTGAAAGCAGATATTTCTGTCATTTAGCATATTTTTTCAGACCTACTAGTAGGAGCTTCAAGATGTGTAAAAAAGAATAAGAAAAAAGTAAAGATGTCTGTATGCTTAAATGAGCACCACACCATAAAGAGGCATAGAGTAGTGGAGGTATATTCCATATATTTATAACATCACCACTAGATGGAGATTAGTGATCAGCTTCACATTCCAGCTACTTTACTACTGGCAGGAGAGCTCCCCGAATTCAGTGGATAAGAGGCTCGGTGAAAACCAGAGCCAGTCTTGGTACTGTCACTCATCACTCATCATGGAGCTGAACCCTTTTTGATAAGCCACCAATTGTGCAGCTACTCAGGAACTTCCCATCATTTTATGGAACCCAAAGGTTCATTACCATGTTCACAAGATTCCTCCACTGGTCCCTATCCTTAGCCAGATCAATCCAATTGATACCATCCCATCTTATCTCTCTGAGATCCATTTTAATATTGCCCACCCACTACGTCTTGGTCTTCCCAGTGATCTCTTTCCTTCTACCTTTCCCTCCAATATTGTATTCATTCATTCATTCATCAGTAATCTGTCAGACGACAGGTCCACAGTCTCTTCCAAAAAAGTTCCTCCACTTAATCCGATCTACAGCATTGCTGTCCAACTTTCTTATGTACTCGGGCACAATTCACTGATGCCTAGGGAGGTGTGTGCGCCACCACACACTACTACTACTACTACTATAATAATAATAATAATAATAATAATAATAATAATAATAAAAACAACAACAATAATAATAATAATAAAATTTTTCGAAAATATTTAACAGTACTCAGACGTTCAAAAATGTCTCTTGTCTTACAATTTGAATTAATATTAAAAATCGGCTCAATTATATGTGGTTACGGAGGGTGCCAGAAAAATATACCATGGGCGCCGTGTTGGACAGGGCTGATCTATAGCTTTCTCCTTCAAATGAGAATATCCTCTTCTGTCCCCAAGGTCATCCAGCATCTTCTTATGTCTTCTTCCTCGTCTTCTGGTCACTTCTATCCACCCCTCTATCTTTCCTTCAATAACTTCTTTTAGAAGGCAGTTACTGTGTAAGATATGACCAATCCAATTAGCCTTCCATTTTCTTATTTCACGTAGGATATTCCTCTGGTCACTGACTCTAAATAACAGTTCTTCATTTCTCACATAATTGGTCCAACTGATTTTCTCCATCCTTCTCCAACACCACATTTCAAAGCTCTCCAGGTGTTTCTGATCTACTGCCCTAAGTATCCAAGTTTCAGCTCCCTACAAAGCCATGCTCCAAATGTAGCATATATCCTATATGCATTACTTTTCCCCCCATTTGTACTACATGCCCTGCCCATCTCATCCTCCTTGACTTGATCATTCTAATTATACTTGGAGAAGAGTACAAGTTATGAAGCTCCTCATTATGCAGTTTCCTCCAATCTCCTGTCACTTCATCTCTCTTCAGTCCAAATATTCTCCTCAACACCCTGTTCTTAAACACCCTCAGTCTGTGTTCCTTCCTTAATGTCAGAGACCAAGTTTCACATCCATAGAGAACCAGAAGCAAAATTATAGTTTTGTATATTCTAATTTATATGTGTTTAGACAGCAGATGAGGAGACAAAAGGTTCTGGACTGAATGGAAACAAGCATTACCCGAATTCAGTCTCCTCTTAATTTCATCCTGAATCAGGTTTTGATTTCTTATAGTCATTCCCAAATATCTGAACTGTGCCACATTTTCGGAACATCTTTTGCCTATCTTTATGTCAAGATTTTGCCCTACATTTTGGTGAGGAGACAGTAACATATACTTAGTTTTTTCTGTGTTTACTTCTAGACCAACATCTTTACTCGCGTCAATTACAGTCACTATGTTTCTCTTTATGGTATCTATATTATCACCGAGTAGATTCACATCATCAGCATAGACCAACAGCTGATGTGTCCCATTCAATTTCAGTCCCACCTGGTTTTCCTGGACCATCCTAATGGCATATTCTAATGCAAAGTTGAAAAGGAACGGCAATAAAGTGTCTCCTTGCTTTCGACCATTCTGGGTAGGGAGATTATCAGACAAATGATTACCTATATGGACTTTACCACACGTTTTGTGTAAACATTTTAATCGGCCTAACTAGTTTGATGGGTACCCCAAACTCTATCAGAATATTGTACAATTCTTGCTCCTAACTGAATCATAGGCTTTCTTTAAGTCTACAAATAAGTGATGTACTGTCTCATTGACATCCCATGTTTTCTCCATTATCTGACAAATGCAAAAGTTCTGATCAGTAGTTGATCTGTTACATTGAAAGCCGCACTGGTGGTCCCCAGTAATTTCATCTATGTATGGACTTAACCTTGAAAGAAGAATATTTGATAAAATTTTGTATGAAGTTGATATTAGTGATATCCCCGATAATTACTACAGTCAGTTTTATCACTCTTCTTGTGAACTGGTACAATAATAGACTCCTTCCACTGATTAGGCAATTTTTCCTCATTCCAGATAGCATTAATTAACTTATGGATCTTAGGACATAATATTTCACCTCCTGCTGAATAAGTCTTGGTACTGTGAAGAAATAGAAAGAGAGAAGATCAGAATTGTAACCTATGCCACTTTCATTACGTTTCTGAGGTTCCAGTGAATCATCATGTATGTAACTTTTATCATCAAAAAGGCATAAATAAAAATTCAGGTATTTTCCTGATGGATCACCATTCAAAATCTGAATTCTTTGCTAACATGATTCATCAGTTATTGCCACAAAAAAGAAAGGTAAATGAAATCTAAATATAGATTTCACTTGACCATCATAGTTTCTTGTATTTGAAGGTTTGTTTCAGCAACAATTTGGTAATCTACATCTTAGGGTGTTGATATTAGTCTCACCTCATTTTCACAAAGTAGCCATATTGTCATTATTAATGATAGGGAGTTAAGATCTAAGAATGTGGAACACACTCAAATGGCATGCCAAGTTTTATGGAAACTGTGAATTGATTAAAATTTTGTCAAGGGAAGCTTGTATGTACAGACATGATACTGTAATTCTCGCCCTTAGCACAGACACACACACACACACAAGAATGGTGAAAATGAACATTTACCTTCTTGAAATTCTGAAGCCTCAAAAAGTATTGAAACAATGTCTAAAAAGTAAGAAAATATACTTACTGAATCTTTGAAACCTGAGATATTCTGCAGAAATGTGAGATTGTGAGAAGATTAAAACTCTTCAGTGTAGGCTTCTTCAGTATTGACATAATTTTTCCGCTGTTCCTGCCAGTGCTAGAAGCACTTCTCAAACTCAGTTTCTGGAATCAAAAATATGTGCTTCTATGCATTCAGTTTGTTTTCACATAAAGTACTAACATCTTTCAGTAATTTTTAGAGAACAAATAAAGTGTCAAGTGGTCATATTTGTTGAATGGATGGGGTGTCTGGCCAGGAATGTGGTTATACAGGGTGTCCCAGGAGGAATGGACCAAACTTCGGGAGGGTGTTCCTTATGTTGAAGTATGCCGATATAACCCAAAACACCTATGTCCAAAGTTGAACAGTTACGGAGATAATGGCCCGAGAAAAGTGTGGTCTTCTTGCAGGTCCACGCACTGTGGACAGTCAGCTGTGACTGTTATCTGTTTGTACTTGAGTGTGGTGATGTCACACTAGCCGTGATCTCATGCGCAAC